CGAGGGTGTACTCTATGCTGTCCCAGAAAAATGCCTCATAATTTACAGTTGCAATAACCTACATGTTTACGTTTACATAATGAATGCAGAATGAAAGATATTGGTTGTATAAGCTGTTGCTTCCTCTGCTATGAAGGAGTAGAATTAACCTCATTCAGAATAGATTTTAGTTTAGGACAAAGTCTTCACCTTTATTCAAGCAATAATTTACTTTATCATTAGTTAATGTTTTCAGCCCCCTCCCCTCCCCCCACAAAAAAAAATTGGCTTAAACTTTAATTTGTTATATTGCTATTCCTATAATTTTGATCAAGCTATTCTGAATTTTCCAGGAGACCATTGTTATTGATCCCGGGTCTTTCCTAGTGAACGATTTTTGGACTGGATTTTTTTTCCCTTTCCCATATAATGTATAATTACATTAAGACACGTTAATAAAGACTTAAAACACCGCCAGATAAATTATTATCTACTAGCTGAAGGGCCCAGCGTTGCCCGTGGAACAAAATTTCGAATTTCTCTTTATGGCCTATAAGTAACCCCCGGCCACCCATGAGTGTCCACAAAAAATTTAGCCCAATCGGTCCAGCCGTGTATACGCAACATATAATACGAACTTGTCTTGTTTTATTATTTAGAAGTCTAGAAGATAAAAAAATTCCGTCTGCTAGCTACAGAGCTTCTAGTAATCGGATTGTCGGAATCAGCCTACTAAACTCGAACTACATAAAAGACGACATTCATAATTCAGAGACGACATTTCACAAATGGGGTTATGGGCGGCAAGTGGGATAAGAAGGGGGGGGGATTCCTCTCCATAGAACCTAGAGCTATCAAACTTTTCAAAGCTTAAACTTAAGAGTGAAGAACATAAATAAATTAGTGTTTAGAAACATGTTTTTTTTTCTGCTAGTTTTGTTTGAAGCGAGATATAAAGTGAAGTACAAGCAAGGTAAGTGGACTGTATGCGATGTATGCAGGGAATACTGAATAGGAAAAAAGGGAAGGGAGATGGCGCTGGTCTGGCATGAGAAAGCTGCAGTCGCACTGCTTTGCAGACGAGTTCGGTATTACACGCTGCACTCTTTCGTGGCACAGACAAAAAACATGACTACAGTCATAAGGAAATTACAGAACAATGTCGTCTTTGCTATTCTACTTTATTATTTGTTAAATTCTCAATAATCACCAAATATCTCATATGGAATTCTTAATATTCAACACTTATGTGATCTTCTACTTTACCCTTCTCATTAATCTAGGTCCTGCTGGGGGGGGGGAGGGGGCAATTTGACACCCCGCCCCTTGTAGTTTTTCTTACATAACTTAAATAATATTGGTCTCAGACTGTTAAAATTTTCGGACTTTTCCTAAATACTCATATCCCTCCTTTTAGGCTTATAACCGTGGACTGCCTAAGCTCTCAAGCACACTGCCTAATATGCGTACATTTTGCAAACTTTTTAGCATTCACTCATTCAAAGAAAAACTCTTAAAGTATGACGACTCCAGTTGTTAAAACTATTATTTTGCCTAAAATTTATGGATTTAATGGCTTTTTTAATGATTTGACAAAGTAAGAAACAACTGTACAGTTTACTCATGGATTTAATAAATCAGATGCATAAATTCACTACAGTCGACTCTTAAGTCTCATCATAACTGTATAGCAAATAGGTTGACAAGTACAATAGATGGCAACACAAAAATCGACCAACTGCGCACAACGTCATATGTGGCAAATGAAAAAAGAAAGACGACATGTCCTCTAATTAGTTGGTAGGATTTCCAAGATTTGGTGGAGATAAATGTCGTCTTTGTAGGAATACGTAAAAAATAAATACAACTCAAAATTAGATAGAGTATTTTTTCACTCGTTTGGTGGCTNTTCCCCTGGATCTGGGGGTTTATCCTCGATTAGACCTTTCCAGAGCACTTCTCCAAAGATATCATTAAACATTTCTGAAATATGTTTTAACGTTATACTTTCGAATTACAATGTTAAAGGGTTCCGTACAATATCAGTTTCAACCCTGTTATTTAGTCTATAGAACGTTAAATGAAAAAGTGTAAAAACAGAAATAAAGAACACATAAAATTGCACTAATTTCACTAAAAGATAAGCACTTTAGTCTAACAATATCACTTTTATTTATAGTTTTGTCAGACAGAAAATTCGTGTTGACACTTATGACGTTTAATCAGCTGTAATGAAAGTGTACGCATTCTGTGTTGCCATCTATTGTACTTGACAACCTATTTGCTGTATAGTGTATATTACAAATTTAAAATGACTAGTAACCATTTAAATAATGTTTATTGGTTAAAAAAAAAGTAAATTTATCAAAAAATTGAGAATTTACTTAATTGATTCTAATGAAAACATTAATTTACTCAAAAATGATAGCAATTTTGGAACATTGCATTTACCAAAATGTTTGCCTTAAATTTCTTACAGAACAATTCTCTTATAAAGATCATAAGATATTTTCAAATTCAAACTTATTACTTAGTATGAAATTCACGAAAATATCCATATTTTTAGGTTTGTCTCAAACTTTTAAACTCTAAAAACAATTTATTAAGTGAAGAAAACCCCGAAAACCGAAAAAATACGTAAAAATACGTAAAATAAAATTTTTTAGGTTAAGAATAAATCTAAACAATACGTAAAAATACGTAAAATAAAACTAAAAACTTTGAAAAATTACTTGGTATGAAATTTACGAGAATATACGTATTTTTAAGTTTGCATCAAACAATTAAATACTCTAAAAAATACAATTTTTTTATGTGAAGAAAAAACCCAAAAAAATACGTTAAAAAACCCTTAAAACTTAGAAAAATTACTTGGTATGATATTTACGAAAATATACGTAATTTTAGGTTTGCATAAAACTTTTAAACTCTTAAAAAAATAAAAAATTTAGGTTAAGAAAAAACAATACATAAAATAAAAAATAAAAACTTAAAAAAATTATTTGGTATGAAATTTACGAAAATATAAGTATTTTTAGGCTTGTATCAAACAATTAAGAACTCTAAAAAATACATTTTTTTTAAGTGAAGAAAAAACCGAAAAAATATTTAAAAATACGTAGAATAAAAACCTCAAAACTTTGAAAAATACTTGTTATGATTACATGGGCGGATACAGGATTTAAGAAAGGGGGGGGGGCAAGATTTTTAAGGAACAAAAAATTCATAATTAGGAACAAAAAATCGCGCTGCAGGGGAAAATTTTTTTGACTTAAAAGACTCAAAAAGAGTCAAAATTAATGACTAAAGACTAAAAAACCAGATTTTTAACTTTTCACACATTAAAGTTTATTAAGACAGATATTTTTCCTGTTTTGCACGTGGTTTATTTCCCTTAAGCATACTATTGAGAAGCTATTCTGAAAATAGGAACAAAAAATTCCAAATTCAGGGGGGGGGCTACGCCACTCCCTGAATCTGTCAGAGGGTGGCGAATGTCCCCCCGCCCCCCCCCCGTATCCGCCCCTGGTTATGAAATTTACGAAAATATACATATTTTTAGGTTTGCATCAAACTTTTAAACTCTTTAAAAAACACAATTTTTAAGCAAAGAAAAAACATAAATAATACGTAAAAATACGTAAAATAAAAATTTGAAAAATTACTTGTTAAAAAGTATTCGTAATTTTTATTAAAAGTACATTTCTGGAAAACCAAAGCATTTAAAAAAAACTGGGTATGAAATTTACGAAAATATACATATTTTTAGGTTTGCATCAAACTTTTAAACTCTTTAAAAAACACAATTTTTAAGCAAAGAAAAAACATAAATAATACGTAAAAATACGTAAAATAAAAATTTGAAAAATTACTTGTTAAAAAGTATTCGTAATTTTTATTAAAAGTACATTTCTGGAAAACCAAAGCATTTAAAAAAAACTGCTAGGTATAAAAAATACGTAAAAATACGTAACTGTACATAAGTTCTTTACCCAAAAGTTGAGCATACAAATATGTATGTAAAAATACCTATTAATACGTATACCTTTATAGAGACTTCAGTATTTTTAGGTTTTGGGGTTATACAGACTGGAGTCAGAATTGTGTTTAAATTAACACTTGTCACAAATATTTCATATTTCATCACAGTTCTAAGGTATTTTTTTGATAACATTTACTGTAGATTTCCTCTTAAATTTTTTGTTATCTAATTTAATTTTTGATGAATTTTTACGAAATATTGAAAAATAATATAATCAACATTTTAACTACAATTTTTCAAAAAATTTCACTTTTTCAGAAAAAAATTGGTTCGCGGATATTTATTTCAATGTTCTAGAACTATTTTTTATTCAAAAAAAATTTAAATTGTTTATGCCTAAATTCTGGAGCAAACAAAAGTTTAGAAAATTTTATCCAAACATCGATAATACCGTTTTCTTTTTGGACCCTGTATATAATCAGTAAAATGAACTCTAAGGTTAATCTACTTTACCTTTCTTAAAACACAGAGTAGGCTGCTGGATATCTCTCACAAACAATAATATTCTTCCTTAATTTCTCATTATTCTGAAAACAATAATATTCTTAAATTCAATTGAAAAGTGAAAACAGACTATGAAAATGTTATGAAATTAGACATTTTTAGGCAATGAAGGAGTATCCTGATCTTAACCAATAACAAGTTATGCGTACGAAGAAATTAGATCAAGTCACATTTCGGCGGTACTTTGGCAATCGGGCTGCTGATCTAAGATTGTCCATCCTACCACTGTGGGGAGTTGGCGAATTTCTTCATCCTTTACTCTCTGAGGACTGATGCACAACTGGCTTGTTTCTCCTTCCCGCCATTTCTTAATCCTAGGGCCAGCTGGCTGGTCAGCCGCTGTAGGGGGCAACACTATATAAGGCGGCTGGAGCAGGGGGAGGGAGGGACCAGGTTTGGGTTGATTTGTCCTGAGGAATTTTCCTCTCAAACTCAATTCAGTGCTTTTTGGGTTTAAATATTTTACTCCATGTCATGAAGGGGTGTGGGGGGTTACAAGATTGACAACAACATATTTTTCACTTAAAATTTTTTTAAAATCTAAAAATCCTAAACGTAATTTCAAGTTACCCTCTAATAATAGAGAATCATGTCCAATTCACAACGGTACCCTTAAAATCTTAATAAAATTTGTGTTAAAAAATTCTCCAATTTTCGGAATGTATTCTTGTTCAGTTCAATTTAATAAATAATTTTTCAAAAAGACAATTGTGCTCACCGCTACAAAAACAATGCAGAAATTATCAGAATTAAACACTTTTCAAGATAAAAAAAAACAGCATTATCTTACACATTAATGCTCAGATTTAGTTTTTAAGGGTAGGTAGTGCAGGGGCGGATCCAGCTTTTTGAAAGGGGGGGGGGTCAAACTCCTAATAAAACTGGGATGTTGGGGAGTACCGAGCAAAAGTTGTGAAGGAATTAACATTGGGAGTAAGTATTTTAAATGCTCAAAATAGCAAATTACTCTTAAATATGTAAAAATATTGCCACCTTAGAACTGTACTTTCAAATTTTTCAATTTTCACTCAGGCATCTTAGGCAAGAAAAATATTGACGTATAAAAGAATGGCAAGTAAAGTAAGTCGAGAATATCTCATTCAAGAAAAAAAACACTTTTATACAGTGAAACCCTTAATAACGAATACATCGAAAGAATTCATCAAATGTCGTATTCTTCACTTTCTGAGAATGGAATGTTGCAGATATCTAGTTTTTTAATTAAATGATATGAAACTCTTTAAAACTGTTCCCGCATATGGCTATTTATTTATTTTCGCAAATAATAAAATTTACAAAATATAGTAAAAACTCATTGAAAAATTGTCAAGACGACATTTGATAAATTCTTCCGATGTATTCGTTATTAAGGGTTTCATTGTATAAAATACTATCATTTGCTCCCTCAAATTAGATTCAAAGATAAAAAATGTTAAACAAATCACTAATATAAGTGAAAACCAAATTTTAAAGGCATTTTGATATAAGTAACAATAAAATTTGCGTGAAAACCGGAGTTAAAAAACATTGAAATTTGGGCAAGCATATGGTCAAAAAACGTTTTTTTTCTCTATCGACCCTTTGCCCCCCCCCCCTCTGTATCCGCGCCTAGTAGGTACCATTGTTTATCAAGCATGTGCTCCCTTTTTTTCATTTGAAATTACCACAGTCTCATAAAAAAGACCGAGTTTATTGTAAAATGATTGATTGTACTGTTTACGTGTCTCCGGAATCCGACTCCTCCGACTACAACGGAGTCATGAGTATTGAGTGTACACATTCAAATATACCGTATAAACAAAGTAGAAGTGAGTAAGACGATATTAGTTATATTCAATATTAAACTACTCTTAGGATCTAGGTGCTGACTACAGAAGATAGAAAGTGGGAGAACTGGAGTTTACAGATAGAAAGTGTGAGAACTAGAGTTTACAGATAGAAAGTGTGAGAACTAAAGTGAGAGAACTGGAGTTTACAGATAGAAAGTGTGAGAACTAAAGTTTACAGATAGAAAGTGTGAGAACTGGAGTTTACAGATAGAAAGTGGGAGAACTGGAGTTTGTAGACTTATATTTTTTAGCAAATAAGAAATAGGAATTTACTGCTTTTGGTTAAATTTTTAGAGGGTGGGGGCAACATTTTTTTTGGCACGCTTACGCCCTACCCCAAAGATAATGGTTTAGTCCGCCCCCGCTAATAATGTTGACATTTCTGGATTCTTTATAGAAATGGGCCAGCGCATGTGTTATTAAAAATCCTGCATCATTAAGAGAGGTCGGATATAGAAATATGTCATTCGTTTCTTTTCTAACACATTTTTACGATTTTGAAGTTAGTGTTTCAAGACGGATTTTTTTTATACCTATTTGGATCTAGAATTGTTTGAGGACTGATGGTGATCATATTTTTATCGAAATATTTTAATATACAGGGTGAGTCCAAAAAAAAGCAGGGATTATCGATGTTTTGGACAACATTTTCAATATTATTATTTTGTTCGGATTTTAAGCATGAAGTAAAATGTGATAAAAAAAATAGATATTTTTATAACATTAAAAACTAAAATCCGCGAAACCATTTTTTTTGAGAAAAAAATTTTTTTTTTGAAAAAAGCGTTCGTAAAATGTGTTTTCTATTTTTTCCAAAATTTCATAAAAATTCATAAAAAATTTGAGATATAGCTAAAAAAATCCGCAAATAAATTCGAGTGGAAATCTGTAGCAAGTGTTATCAAATTATAATCTTAGAACTGTTATGACTTTAAAAATACAAATAAGCGTTATATCTCAAAAAAGTTTTGAAGAATTTTTTATGGAATTTTGAAAACAATAGAATAAACATTTTCCCCACAATTTTTCAAAAAGTTATTTTTTCCAAAAAATTGGTTTCTCGGATTTCTTTTTTAACATTCCAAATATATTTTTGATTTTTTTTATCACATTTTATTTGTTTATTTATGCCTAAAATCCGAAAATTTTGACAAAAACATCGATAACCCCTGGTTTTTTACACACACTGTATGAACTGAGAAAGTTAAGTTGAGATTGCTTTACACCTGGTTTAACTTTTTTCTTATTAACTAGAAATACATATTTTCCTTGCTGAAATTTGATTATTTTTAATTGTGTGTTCTCTGTAAAAGTTACTTGAGGATAAATAGTATGAATTTTAGATAAGCTTTAAGATCATGGAAAACGGTGAGAAGACCAGAATTTAAACATGAAGAATAAAATGTTTGTCAAAACAAGGCATTTTTTTGGAAATCTGCTAACACACTTTTGAAAATTCATAATCTATTTTCAAATATGGAGAAATAGACAGATTGAGTTCATCAAATCTAACAAGAGTAAAAATATTTTTGTTGACTTGTAAAGTCACTATAATAAATTAAAAGAGATCTAAAATGGATATTTCTAACATTTATTTAAAAAACGAGTGTTTTGAAATATTTGCATTTAAGGCGGAGTTAAAATTGGTTGATTTAGAAATTAACAATGGAATTAATGATGGATGTTTGTGGGTACTTCATGGGAGTGATGTAGATCTTCATGTTGGTGAAGCAGATCAACAGGATCTTGAACAACAGGACTTATCCAACCTAGTAGGCAGAGATCGCGGCTTATCATGCTGGCTATGAGCGATTATGTTGTCTCTGGAATGCATGATGAACTGGGAACCCTTCGGGTAAGAGCGTCTGCTGCTATCTGAGTATCTGCGTCATCATCATAAAGGAGTCAAGAGGCTCCCTGTGTTGGAGCTGTTACCGGCTCAACTCTCTAAACCTGACTGAATACCGGGAGCTGGGATGAGCGGAGATTCGACATGTGGGCACTACATGAGGAGGAAATGGATCTTGAGTACACATACATCTTAGAGAAAAGGCTACGGCATTTGAGTCGGAAAAATCGTCTTCCTTATATTTCGAATTAATTTTAACAATTTTACTTTAATAAATCTAAATATGAATATACACACCAGAACACTGGAAGATTCATCCTACCGCAAGTGTAGGTAAAATTTAGAAAAATTAAATGTTGTCAAAAAAAGGAAAATGACTGCCAAGGTAATAAGAGTTACAACTTTATCTAAAAGACAGAAAAAAACCATTGAACAGTAAAAAGGCGAGTGGCGAGCAGACAAGACATCTTTAAAAAGAAAATTTTAACGTACTAGGTATTCATTAGAGAATATATCACAAATGATCTTAAAATTCTTTATTTTTAATGATCTTTGGTGGCAAGGCTAAATATTTTTACCCTTATTAGGAAGAAACAGCTACAAGAGGATATTTTATCTAGAACAGATGAACTCCTAGAAATGAATGATAAATATAACAACTTGACAACAGAGAGAAGTTTCTTGTGTCAACAAATGAAATAGATGCTGATAATGCTAATCATATTTATCTCTCTGATTTTCAGGCTTGACTAATATATCAACTTAAAAAATTGGAACATTGAGATGTTTTCTCAACTATATTCTGTGTTTGCAGAGAGTGAAAACTACTAGAAAACTAGAATAACTAGATAATTCCATAAATCCAGATCATCATGGATCGCAACCTCATCTTTCCCACTGACATCCTCAATCAGTCCATCATATGGTACGGAACCTATACTCGTCAGACCTGGACATCCTTGAAGCTGCACTCAACCTCTTCTTGGATCTCCCACCAGAACGTCTGGACACAGCTCTACTGGGAGAACTGGGACCAGGAGATACAACCTCCAGTCTGCTCTTCTCTCATAACAGAATCTCCTCCTCCTGGTGAAGCCCGTCGTTCTGATCTCAGAGCCCATTCCCAAATCCAGGCAAACCTGGAGCAGGCTGGGACGAAATCGAACTGACTCTTCAACACCAGTCGTCCATTTAAATAACCTCAATATCACCATCCCTCTATTGTATACAACCAGTCGGATCTTGATGTTTTGATTACAACACCAACTCAGAACAATGGTTGAGTCAGTGACACATCAAATTTCTTCTTCAGCTGATCCTAGAGCTATATATGTCTTGAAATCTAACGCTGTCCGCAATAA